GCATACCGTCATGACCTACACGAAACGCAAATTCATAAAATGATCAGTAGAAGGCGAAAACTTGAAATATTTTTCTCGCTAATTTTTCGTACAATATCGAATCACTTTTAACAGTCAGTCTGTAAAACCGGAATATTAATATTATCGATATATAAACAACTTGGAGCAATGCAAGAGACGAGTAAAGAGATAAAAATGCATGAAGTGAAATATCGGGTATTTTTCAACTACAAAACGATGCAAACTTTGATTTAAACTGACTTTTTGTCAACTTAAATACGACTAATGATGCAAAATATGATGAATGAAGATATTTATTAATAATTGTGATCAAATAACAAAATATGATAAGAAAATGTGACTAAAAAATTTAGGGGCGAAATTTAGGATGCACCACATGTGTCGAGACACCTTCGGAAGTTTGCACAAGTTCATAAGATGAGTTAGTAATAACAAGAAACGATAACCGAAGTTAAGCATTCACATTACAACTCAAAATGAAACTAAATTATGAAAGAACAACTTCCAAACAAGTATTGGAACCATAAAACAAAGTTTCGGGCAGCAACCTTTTATCTCATGAAAGGCTCAAAAAGTTGAATTAAATTCAACCAAAATCGACACCAATATCAATTATTCACCAAATGAAACTCAAGTATGCATTAAGAAACAATTAAATCACATTCCATGTGCATTTTCAAAACCCGGACAACATTGCATTTAACTCATGAAGCATCTGAAATGTCGATTTAAAATCATCAAAACTCATCAACAATAGCCAACAATCATCACATGAAAGCTAAACATGCATGAACCGATAATTAAATGCAAAGTTTACATGTATTTGTTAATTATGGGCAGCAACTTTACATATATCGATGTCCACCAAAAATCAATCGGAAAATAACATTTAATGCGCGAAATCATTACACATTGATACTTAGAACGTTACTCAAAATTCACAAATAAATTGCAAATGTTAAATTGCTACCGGTACAAAGATTCTTGCACATCGAAACAAAAATTATCAATGTGTCGATATCAAATAATCAACTCGAAAAATAATCATCAACTCATGAAATTCCAAAATTATCAACAACTATTGAATCAGAATCAAGCTTCGACGCGTAAAATCAACAACTAACAAAAAATCACCGCATCGATATTCATGAGATTGAAAAAATTAGACAAATTCTCATCCGATTCCACAATTGCCCATAATTATAAATCCCAAGAATCAAATTATTTCAACAATTCAAGTATTCAACTCATGAAAACAAATAAGCACTAAATTCAAAATCAATTAATCAATTAAGCACTTAGATCAAGCAAAGTCTCAAGAAATTACCAAAATCGATGCGAAGAGGAGATCAGAGAGTTGACTGGAGGAGATGATGCACGATCAAACAGAGAGGAGCACGCCGAAATTGGAGATAAGACGGGGGAAGTCCACCGCTGAGAGCTCGGATTGGAGACGGAGGGACTCGACGTGAGGAGGGAGACATATCGGGATGACCGGAGGGGGTTGGCACGCGGCTGGTGCTGGCCAGAGGTGATGATCGATTGATTCTGAGAGAGGGAGTAGATCGATGCAAGAGAGGGAGGAAGAGCTCTTGCTTGCACTTGAGTCTTGAGAGAATTCTTGAGCTCTTGAGTGTGATTTGTGAAAAATGGGGGAAAAAAGTCCTTCTCAATTTGAATTGAATCAATATATAGACAAGCTCTCATGCCTTGTTTGGAAAATGGAAAAAGAAATTCAAATTCTCTTGTTTTTTGGTAGTGCAGAATTTTCAGCTTACATTTGTGTACAATTCGATAAAACCCACAAGCTCATAAATTTCGGTGCATATTATTGTATTAAAATACAAGAGTTGTTGCTCATTAATATTATTTGTTAGAATACAAGAGTTGTTGCTCATTATTGTGTTACTATTGTAATTTGTTTGAACACAAGAGTTGTTGCTCATATTTGTGTTAAATAATTTGTACTTAAACATTTGTGTAATCCGCTTGTAAGAAGCAACCTTGTAAACACATTATTCAACTGTAAGTTGATTGTTCCTTGAGTGACTAAGGTGTTAGTCGGAATACTCAAGAAGATTTAGAGAAATCTCCTTCAAGGGATCGGGTAGGTCAAAAGCCTTAAGGAGTCAGTGATCGTTATATCTCTTAGGGGACTGGGTAGGTCAGAATTCTTAAGGGATCACTAACAGGTTATCATTTTTTGTAGTCCGTGCATTTGTAATCTTTTAAGATTAGTGAATTAAGTCATTTTCTAAGGCAAAATCACTTTGGCGGATGGACATGATTAACCTTTTCTAAAGTGAACATGGATAAACCGAAAGTGTCATTATTTCTCTTTATAGCATTGATTCTATTTTAATTGTTTGTGTAAAACACTTCTAAACGAAAAAGTTTTTGAAAATCCAATTTAAACGCCCTCTTTCTTGTGTTTTTCTCAACCTTCACAACAATTTTAAAAGACTTTTATTTTGACATGAGAGAGTATATGAATTCTTTAAATAGGACTCGTTTAATTTTTTATATTATTTTATACTTTCTAATTATTTAACCAATTCATCTGTATTTTTTAAATATCAATATAACTCATCAAATACTTTAAAATATGTTCCATTAAACATCACAATATACCTCACAACACATTTATTGTTAGAAGTTTTTAAAAATAAATAACCAAATAAAAGTGTAAGAGCTTGGTTTAGTTTGACCGTATTTAGTTGAGGAATGGAAAAACAAGTGAATTATCCATCAACTTTTGATACAGTATCTTTAAAAAACTGTGTAGATACTCCAAACAACATCCGATAATCATGCTCTAAAAAAAGTGCTATGAATATTATCTTTTTAACATTATCTCTAACGCTCACTCTTTTATTAAATAAAATACATTTCAGTCTATCATTTTGAAAGTAAATCCAACATAAAGCGGTATAGCTCACATGTATTTCAGCCAATAAAAAACAAATAATAGAAAGAGTGTTGAAAAGAAAATATTAATAGCATTTCTCATAGTATAAAATTGATCAATTTGAATAAATGCGCCTATAAATACCCCTTGAAATAATAATGGAAGATTAATAGGCAAAAAAGGGCTAACTACAAAAATGAAAGCGGGAAATATAAATTGACGAAAATGCCACTGAAGCCAATTAATAATAATATTAATTTTGATGGTGAAGCCAATTCAACAAAAGAAACAAAAGAGGCTTAACTTAGGGTTCCGAAATTAGGAGGAAACAAGTATGATTGAGATTGAGATAAGAATCAGGTTGTGGTGCTGCAAGCTCTTCGCGGTGGCCGTTAGCTACAATGCTTACTCGCGACTTGTTCAGAACCGCATGTGAGTTTTTTATATTTTATTTTATGAATCTAGATGCTTCCTTGCTATTATCTGCCAAAGGTTACAATGCTTCCAATGCATTCATATTCTGTCTCATCCCGCTTTGCATGTTGTTCATATATAATTCATTTGCAAGTCGATTGATGCCAATAAGTCGATATGTCCGAGTGGTTAAGGAGACAGACTTGAAATCTGTTGGGCTTCGCCCGCGCAGGTTCGAACCCTGCTGTCGACGTTTTTCATTTTTTCCCATCATATAAATTGGAAGAGACTTGCATTGGGGTTTGTGGGCATATTTCATGGAGGCTACCATCTTTTTTATAGGAAGAGAAAACCCTCATACTTGCTAGTTTGAATTATTATAGAAACAGGTAGCCCGCGTGCAGAACTCGTCCACTTGTTTAAATTAGAGTAAATACTCATTTGGGCCAGAATTTGTGAGGTGCTACTTGGATACTCTCTGAGTACATAAAAAATACAAAATTCCATAAAAGAGATTCATCATCAAATCTTTCTTCCTGCTAATTCGGCCATAATATCAAGTTATGGAAGAGTTGTAAAATTTGTATGTTACACGGTCCATACTTCATTTACACAGATTGTATATAAAGCACCAGTGGTCTAGTGGTAGAATAGTACCCTGCCACGGTACAGACCCGGGTTCGATTCCCGGCTGGTGCATTTTTTTGTCGTATTCTGATACATGAAACCATGACTGCAATTCTTATGCACATGTTTCTGTTGAAGAGACAAGAACTGCATTAGTTATTGTTTCAATGCATTAAAATAAAGCTATAGATGGATGAATGAAAAAGAGATCAACCCAATTTTCATGATCACCAATATATGTGTTTTTTATGCATCTCATTTCTGTTAGGTATATATATATTAATTTAAAGCATTATAACCATGATCTGAATTAAGTTATCTACAGCAATTATGTCGACTTGATTTGATTCTCATCTTCCAACTCATCCCTATACTTTTAACTTGGCATCACATGGATAAACAACATCGCTGCAAACCATGCAGTCTTTGAACTTGTCTGCCTTCAGTGGATCAATTGGAGGCAAGACGAATCTTCTTGTTTAGGCATCAATACAATTAGTACATTATCATGCCTATATTTACAATGTTCCCAACTTCATGTCAACTTTTTAATCAATATTCATTGTTAATATAATGCATGTTAGCTCCTAATTTTAATACTAATTCAATGGTTCTCGGTAGATGAAACATTGTGAATATGTGCAAAGTTTTTATTTAATCATGGGCCTAAGGAAAATTTTGAGATTGTCAACTCTTATATGCATTCTGAAGTTAACTTTGAGTATCATGTTTGCATACTTAATTTTTGCCTAGGTTCACAGTTATTTTATTTTAATCCCCCTCCACTTTTTTCATCCTTCATTATATTTTTTTACCAAAAAGAGAAACATAAATTTATTAAGTGAAAAAGTTTGTTGAAAGATAAGATTTTGAAGGGAACTGAGCTAAAGAGATAGATGTTGAAATAATAAGGGTTTGATCTCTAGATAATAATATTCACATAGTAAAAAAGATATAATCAGAATCATGTACAGTTATGTAACACTCTTGGTGGAAAATTGAGTGCACACAAATCATATAGACATTATGATTAGTGGTTGAAGATGTTAAGAAGTGAAACTCTATTTCTAATTAATTTTCTTGATATTTGTTCAACTCCTATTTCTAGATCTTGAATGCATATCTTCAAATCTTCCAAATAACTTTGAAAATTTTCAGTAGGTATAGACTTGTGGCTGATGAGAGACAACAAAGCTGCATCCACTTTCTCAAATTGATTTGTGTCTGAATCTTGAGAGTCACAAACAACTCTTTTAGAATGCATCAACATGGATATTGCTGACCATCTTCTGTTGTTTGAGTGTCCTTTTGGATTACAGATAAATAGCAGCAAATGTTCTAGCGAGCTTATAGTGACTGTTTCTGCTTCTTTCAAGAATCCAAGCATAGGTGAAGAGTTATTGTCTTGATTGTTTGAGGAAGAAGCAATCAACTTGTTTGCTTTCAAATTTACCAACGCCTTCCGAATTTGCTTCTTCATGTTCTTCCTCAAAGCCATGTATTTTACACCCTCGGCTTTGAATCCGGTTTCAATTCCTCTCTTTCTTCTTATGAGTGACTGTAGTTCATGTGTGTTTTCCTTTGATAGCAAAAGGCATTCCTTAGCTATACTGCAAATATCCAAGATCCTAAGTGATCCTTCTAGTAGGTCATCGGCACACTTTTCATTGCACTCTTGTGCTAAGGTCTGTTGTTCAATTGGTAATTCAAGTAACTTACTGATGCAATCATGCAAATCCTGCATGTCATTAAGTTTGTTGCATATCAAAGGTGATGCCACTGAAGAGGCACATTCCGAAGTCTTCAATCGTTGCAAATTATCCTCAAATTGTGATATTAGAGGGTGAGGAGTGGATGGTAAGCTGTTGCAGCGAAGATGCAGAGAGCTCTTTGTGTTTGTTTCAATGATTGCCATTTTTCTTCTCAGAAAGCAGAAGTTTAGAAGGTGAAAATATACAAGAGTTTATTTGAATACTTGAGTTTTTGCTGGTTTTTTTGCTTCATATATATAGCCAGCAAATAAAGGAGACAAGAAGAATATTTTTGTTTGTTAAATGTCACCTAATTATTATGCAATGATATCATCTTGATTTGGATCTCTGCTATCTCACCATGATCTGTCAATACTTTGCATGCACCAAGCTTCCAACTCATCCCTCAATTGTTTTCTTGGGAATTGCGTTGATTCTTACAAATTGGCATATTTTACAACATAATACTCAGAAATGCATTATGCATGCATTGTTAATGGATGTTTATTTGGAAGATGAGAAGATGCTGTTTTAAAGCATGATTATCTTTTATTATATGAAATTGTCTGCCTGCAACAGGACATATTGAAGGCCAGGAAAGTCTCTTGATCTTCAGTTACTGTTATATTGCTTATTTCTTGGTGGCGATGTTTATGCAGTGTTCCCAGATCGACACTTATTAGTTTATGTTATACCCTTTTGTTTGTTGCAGTTTCTTGTCTCATTAACATGTGTAAAACTAATTGATGCATGTTGTACTCATGTGATTAATAAAATTAGGACAGATAAAAAACACGCATGCTTTTGTTTCTTGCCATTTTTGTAAATATACTATTGGATAGAGATTGTCTCACCTCTCAAAGGAGTCTAAGAGCTGCTGTGAAGGGAAACATTGAAAGGAGAGAGAGATTAGCTGAGAGTTTTTATATAATTCTCTTTGACCCTAAATATAGTAACTTTAAAGTTTCAACTATCTTTTGCTGCTCACATTTTGAATTTAAAAGAGTGCCTTACATTTAAAAGTTATCTATAGGTTCTACAAAAATTTCTTGTGTCTTGTTTGAAATGAGGAATTCGAATGGAAGAGTAACCAAATTTCTACCAAATTTCTTTGGTATTTCATTACTATCAAACAGTTATAATGATTTGACTTTTAAATATTGAGGATAATATGTAAAGTGAGAAAATCGAAGTTGTTATTTTAAAAAACGCATGATTTGTTATAATGTACTTATAGTAGTCATCTTTGATTTGATAGTCCCTTGAGTGTTTAGATAGAAGACTCGTAGACTTTGTTTGGAAGTTTAGAGGAAAAGAGAGTGGAGGGTTTTGAAGAAAAAAAATGATTAAATAGAAAAAATTGAAGGATTTTAGTTGGGAGGATTTACGAATTTCTTTATCCATCTCTATATGTTAAGTTAAATTCTTGAAAAATAAAAAATTTCTTTCGAATATGCATATCCGAACGCAATCCATATTTAATTTCATAGATTTTTGGATATGCATATCCGAAGTATCTCAATATTTCATTTTCAGGGGTTTTCGGATATGCATATCTGAAATATTTTAATATTTATATCAATTATACTCAAGGTGTATCAATTAGAGCATCTCGTGGGACCAGCGATTCTAAAGAATTTGTCCAGGCAAAAATTAGGGAAAATGAAAAAGAATGAAAAACGCGAAAAGCGAAAAGAGAGGACTACAAAGCAAAAGTCCTAAGCAAAGAACAAATCAGTGTGATTACAAGCATAAAAACAAAAAGGGTGACTGATGCTCCATAAGCTTCATTTGATCCTTAATTGTCATAAAATCCTTTTTGAGAGATGAGGACTCATGTTGATTTAACTGAACATAGGACTGGAGAACATCACGGAGAATAGGTTGAGCTTAATAAACTTTGAGCCTAAAAATCTTTTTTCTGAAAATCGAGAACTAGGCCACGTTACAACCCGCGAAATATCTAATTGAAGCAGGGTTTATTTCGAAAGCATACCTCCATGAGATATCGTTCCTGACTCCGAGAAGGTTATGCTAAAAAGATTTGTGTTGGTATCATATGTTTGCATTGCTTTTGTCACATCCTAACTAAGTGATTTTTTCCAGAGTTTTGTGATATCTTTTCAAAATAAAAAACTTCAAGATTAACATGTATGGTGCATTAGAATTATCATTTTCATAATAAACATTTTTTCTGCTTGCATAAACATTTGTTTGACATCAAGGAAGTTTACATTTGATCATCAGTGAGAAAGCTAAAACATTATTAGGGGCATTCTGCCAAGAGACTCTGTTCAGCAGGGACAAGTTATTTTTCCCAGTATGATACTTTCACAGTTGATCGCCCTTAAAAGACAGGGCTTAAAGACATTGTTGAGCAAAGAATATGCCAAGTTTCAGTCAATCTGGGGCAGTTACGTCGAGATTCGACAAATCTCTCCAAGCATCAGTTCACTAAACAAACTATCTCAAGACCATTCCTTTGAAGATCGTGCACTCTGAGACACAAGTGGTGCACCAAAGTTATTGATTCCAGGGGCAATCCAGATTTAACAGGATCTGTTGTTATGGATCTTTCCAAGCACAAGGTTTTATGGACTCTATTTTCTTAATAAAGTCACCAGAGGGTGACTTTCCCTAAGAAGAAATCATTCTTTAGCAGAGGTGGTCATATGATCTTACAAATATTTCCAAGGTTCCCCTTGCAGTTAGTTGAGCAGATAATGGGTTTCCCCTTTGCCATATTGTTGTGATTGATCTATATCAGGCATGAGCAAACTTTAATTCAATTCCTCCCATTTGGGTGTGGTTTTTCCCCCAATCAGTTAGAGGATTCTTCTGCCACCTTGTGATTGAGATTTGGGAATTCCCCACTGAGTTTATTTCTCGTGGAGGTTTTATTTAGCGTTTTTCCCAAATTTTTTATTATCTAGATAGAACAAATTCCCAAGTTGAGTTATTTCCTCACTGAGTTGAGTCTTCTATGACGATTTCTTTCTAGTTTGTTTCTAGATTGTATTTTAGTCCTTGTTAGCAGACTTTGTCTTGCTTTTAAAATTGGTTATCCATCTTTTTGTATTTACTGTTGTTACAATATCCGATTTTTTATATATGGTATTCACCTCATTTGGCATGTAATACCTATGATACGGTGGGAGAACTGACTTGTGTATTTTGTGTTTTATCGCAAATATTGCGGTTAGCAAGAGTCGCTACCGGCTTTTCTTTTATCCAAAAGGAAAGGATGAAAAGAAAAGGAAAGACCTTTGAGATTATTTTTGAGTTCGGTGGGTAGATTATGAAAAGGAAAGGTATTAGCACCATTTTCATCCATAGTTATCTATGGGTTCTTAGTTGCTTGCTAGATCACTTGCTTTGTTTGAAATGTGCTTTGTGTGGTTTTTGAAAGTATTTTGAAAAGGCACCATCGTTTAGGAAAACTTTGTAATAGTTCTCGTTCGTAAGAACGTATACAAAGTGTTGATCTTTTGAAAATGTTTCATGTTTGGAAAATGTTTTGAAAGTGTTGGTGTTTGTTTTTGAAAATGTTTTTGTTGTGAGCAAGCGAACAACTAGGAAAAATCTACCTACTCAAAAGGTCTTAGATGTTCTTTTCTTCCTCCTTTAGATGTTGCTATCTTAACATTGATTTTGTAAGAAGCTATATCGTTGGATGTGAAGGGACGGACGTGGGATGTTTGTATAGTCATAGAAGGCAACCTTAGGGACTAGATCGTTTATCGAAGGCAATATCGAGGGTCATCATGGGACTACGATCTTTTATCGAGGGTCTTTGCTAAAACGCCCATATTCGAGGGACATGACTATTTTCCGAGGCAACAAGTGAGATTACCCTAAGGGTGCATGTGTGTGAATAGTGTGTTTGATTTGCATGCATTTTGTCTTGATTAGGGGTTGTCTACTTGTTGGATTTTATCTTGCCATACACACCTAATTACTAGCATTTGTGCAAAAGTAATAAAAAATGCAGAAAATAAATCCTACACTATTACAACCATATTGAAGTGCATAAAAATATAAAGGCAAAAATAAAATAAATAAAAAGAAGAAAAATGAGCTCTTTCGATTGGGGGGTGGAGAACCCTTCGGTTCTGCTTCTGTTGGCCTCCTTCGATTGAGCTTGGCCTGAGGCATGAGAGGTGGCCTTTGATTCTGCCTTCTCTGCCTCTTTCGACTGGGGCCTGGAATCAACAGGGTGCGCCTTTCGATTCTGCCTGGAAATCAGTGTGGTGCAGCCTGTCTTTCTGGGGCTTGGGAGCCCAAGGCTTCGTTCTCTACTTCATGTTTCCTGTTTTCCTTTGTTTGAACTTTTGAACAGCAACATGGCCTAAGGCCATGCTGGAATTTGTCTTGTGGCCAAGTTAATTCTTAAAGTATATTTAATAACTCAAGAAACAAAACCAAAAGGATTAGCCATGAAAACATATTGAAAGGGTGTAAACGAAAAGGAGAAAATGTTATATAAATGTTATGTTTGAAACGAAAGAAAAAATTACTCACATGTTATGCCTGAAATGAAAGATTTAAGGGTAAGGGTAATTTACCTTGCTTCAGCCTAGAATGTGAGTTGGACCTTGAGTGGTGGCTCTGGGTTCTCTTGGATTCGAAGGGAGGGGCCAGACACTAGGCCTTGGATGCTAGATTCGAAGGAGGAAAGAAAGTAAGTGTGATGCTTCTTTCCACTGGATTCGAAGGAGACTGAAGTGTGAGGAGTTCTTCAGAATCAAAAGAGGTGAGTGTTTGGGATTCTGGGTTTGTTTTCATAAGTGTTTGAGAACTTGAGAGTTTTTGTTGTGTTTGAGAAAGTTTGGAGATTCGTTTCCCTCGTCCAAAGATCCTCTTCAGCCTTTGCAAAGAATTCCTCTATTTATAGAGAAAGAATGGACATGTTGTCCAAATCCAGCCTTGCAAAGAAATGATAAAATAATGTAACGTGAAAGTACAAGTGGAGGGCCTTTTGGCAGTTGGGGTGCAGAAGATTTGACTTATGCTTCTGGCCCTCTGATTATACAAAGATTTGGAAGCAACATAGCCTGTCAAGTAGGGTAAGGCTATGAGATTTCCTCAGATTTGCTTCAAACAAAACCTACTTCGAATGGCTCAGCTTGGATTCGAAGCAAGCTAATTCGAAGGGGATCCACAT